AACAGAGGTGTATGTTTGTAGTGTAATTTACAACAGCTTCGAATGCGGCTCAACCAATCAGAATCAAGGACCGGAACTATCCATTTTATAATAAACATTTTAGTACAGAATACAAAATATATTTTCACAAAATAATGTGGACACTTACAAAGTTGTGTTCTAAATTTGAAGGTGATATCACAAAAATTCAGCCTGCTAAAGGTTTTAAAAGACCATTTCCATGGAAATGCAACGTCCAGTTTCAACAGGATGAATTTAGTGTTAAAGCTTTGGAATGAAACATGCCAAATCTTCCGACCAATAATAAGCTAACATAGCATTAAAATTAAAGTAAACAAATATCAAAAAGTAATTAAAATTACATTGTACTTTGAGAATTTCTTGAAGTTGAGATAATCTAAACTGTTGTTCTAAATTATTGATCTAAATCATCTAGATCATTAATCTACTCACCTTTGACAGTAACAATGAAATTCTTGTATTCGGTTCTTTTGTTTTTGCGGCTGATCTGTAGTTTATAGAGTCCAGAGTGAATTCTTCTGATGTTATTGATGCTGAGATCTCCAGTCTTCTCATCCAGCACCAGTTTGCTTCTGAATATCTCATCAAAACCATCATATGTTTTTTTACTGGTCGCTCCACTTATTTCAGCAATGAGATTGTTGTCTTCTTTATAGCACCACTGTATTTTATCATCTTTTTGTAGCTCAGTATCAGTCTCTAAAGTGACAGAATCTCCGTCTGCCACTGACTTTTCTTCAACTGTCACAGCTGGACATAGAAATGTATTCATGAGATCAAGCTTAAATTTGGTGCACTTATACTGTTTAACCCTTTTTTGAATGTGTAAATGCCAAGCACATTAAACAAGTGTGAGCATGTACAAAAAGAGCAGTGTAAGAAAGTAAATGTTTGGGTAAAATAATCTAATTACAATAGTAAGTAATGGACTCCTGCATTGATCTGAAGCATTAGTGTTATCAAACCTAGATCTTAACGTGTTGTAAAACTGACAGTATATTCGTTGTCCACACTAATACGTTTTTGTTTGAAAATGTATATTTTCTCTTCGTTTTAGCCTTCTGTCCACACTTTGACAGGATTTTTGTCAAGGAAAGTGGAGATTTTTTAAAACGCTCCCCCAAAGTAAATAAATTTGAAAACGCTGTTTTCGCATTGTAGTGTGGACTGTGAAAACGGAAGCCTTTGAAAACGATAGCACATGTCTTGTAATGTGACACATATTGTACCAATAGATATCTTTAAACCGGTATTGTGACTGTTCTGTGCTATTCACTTCCACATTATTGCTACAGATATGTTACATTGTACAGTACACTCTACATATCACAGTCCTGCAATAATGACAGAACATTTAGTTACTTGCAATTGCTGTTTGCGCAAAACAAGAGGGCATTTGCATTTTAGACTAGCCATACAATCGTGAATGAGTGCAGACTGGATGCGTCAGTGAATGATGAGATATTTTCCTAAATAAAATGAGCTCTCAGTTTTTTTGATGCTTTAGGCATGCGGAGTAAAGCAAATGTAACATTTTCTGACGTTTCAGTGTGGATGAGAAACTATTGGAAAACATTTGAAAACGTGTGGACTGAGAGTGTTTTAAACTATTTCAAATTTTGTCATTTTAAAAGAAATTCAAGCAGGGCCGGTGTTGTGCCGAAATCTGCACCCCTACCAGATTATGCATTATGCATTATGAAATCGCTACCTGATTGCGTAATCCCAACCCCAACCCTAATCCTAACCCCTCCCCCACACCTACTCCTAAACCTACCAATACTAGGGGATGCATAATCTGGCAGGGTGCAGAATTCGGCATGACACCGGAGTGGGACTAATTTTCAGCCCTGGATATGATGCATACACCAAATACACAAAATAATGTTCTTTTAAGCAACATCATATGACCCCTTCAATGCTTTTAGAACGGTGTCTTGAGATTTGATCCTACCCGTCAGATTTTCCTACCAGGGCTTACTGCGCATGGGCACATCAATATTGCGTCCTTTTTCTCATGCTGAACAACAATATTTAATGTATCTGCATTACTGTAAGGGTA